GGCCAACAAAAAAAAAAAAAAAAAAAAAAAACCGAAGAAGAAGAAAGAAAGAAAATAAAAGAAAAGAAAAGAAAGAAAAGAAAAGAAAGAAAGAAAAAAGAAACCAAACGGTCGGGCGTCGTCTGCCAGGGCCCTGCCAGGGCCCTGCGCCAGCCCCCCCCTAACCTCCACCCCTCAATTTATTTTATTTCTTTTTATCACACACACCCTGTGATGTTTTTTGTTTTTTTTTTTTAATATTGGAAGGCATGGGGGTGTGGAAGCCCCTGCCCACCAACCCCCTCCCGCCCCGATCCCGACCGTACCAACGTCCAGGTGGGCGGAAAACCCATGAATGGCTGCCTTGAATGGCCATTCATCCCACGTTTGACCGGTGCCAGTTGGCGGCTTGGGCCCAGCCGCCCAGGGAAAATTGCCTCAGGTAGGGCACAGCGTGGGGTGAAAATACCCTTGGGGTATTGTAGGGCCGTTAGGGCCCAGGGAAAATTGCCTACAATAGGACCCAGCGTGGGATGAAAATAGTCCCTATCCTTTTTCTTTGGGCGCATAGTACTGGCCTGTTTTTTATTTTTTTCATTCGGCCGAAACCAAAACGGTTTCTGCTCAAATTCCACATGGGTGCTTTCCACAAATTATCCCAAAACTTCGAACCGAAAGGAATCATCCTAAGCTCCTTCGATTTAATATTTATTTAAAAAAAAAAAAAAAAAAGTATTACCGCACGCTCCAGGTAAGTGCGATTGCACGGCTTGCAAATAAGTCGGAGAGGTAAGCCACATAGCATTGAACACAAAGGAAAGTGCACTCCATTACTAGATAGTAGATGCTTTAGAACTGCATCCACGAAGATTGCTATCTCCGTAGTATCCCCTCATAATACAAAAAGGAGTTTCAAAGTGAAGGAAAAAGGGGAACGATAGGAGGAGAGGAGAAGAGGGGCAAAAATCTCCCCTCAGAGTACAAAAAGGAAAGTGAAGGGAAAAAGGAACCGAAAGGACGAGAGGAGAAGCTGTGTTGCCCCACTTCGAGTTCATGTTTTGAACGCGCGTTCAGCGCGTTTAATGAAGGCCACTAAACAGGGGAGGTGGTGTTTCTGGGGCGGGGGGGGGGGCTGGGGGCCATGTGGCATAGGGGGAAGGGGTCCACGGGCCCAGAAATAAATTAAGAGAGCAGAAAAAAAAGGGGGAGAAAAAGGAATTAAAAGAGAGAGAGAGAGAGAGAGAGAGAGAGAGAGAGAGAGAGAGAGAGAGAGAGAGAGAGAGAGAGAGAGAGAGAGAGATTTCCATTTATAAGATGAGCAGCGCACCGGCCAACAGGTAATTCTCCAACCCGTTTCTGGCCTGACCCTACTTTTATCCATAGGTTGAGCAAACTCGAATGAATCTTCCACCAGAACATGAATATATATAAGGTCCTCCACCCCATAGTCCCGGACACGCGCATGCTTGGATGGTGGGGTAGCGTTCAAGACTTTCGCGTGGATTCACGGCATTCAGACCGTCACATAGAGGAGAAGGGTGGGGGGAAGTGCAAAGAAGAAGACTTAGTAGAAGATCACCCTCGGGCACCATACGAATAAGCATAAAATTACAATCCCTTGAGTGCGAATGCATGACAGAGATGAAGGAACGGAACTGATATCGCTTCAAAACCAAGAAAGAGATGGAGAGAAAAACTTGAAAAAGATACTGCTTCAAAACCGAAAAAGAGATGAAGAGAAAAAGATATTGCTTCAAACCCAAGGAAGAGATGAAGAGAAAAAATCCACCGTGCGTACCGCCGGTCAGCCCACTCACCCATCCCTGGATGCTGGTGCGCCGATCAGGACTGCTGCAGATGTAGCGCAGAGGGACTCTGATTTTACCCTTTTTTTTTTTTTTTTTTTTTTTTTTGCATGAGAAAAACTTACTCTGTTCCTTAGCCGCCGTTTCGGGGTGGGGGGTTCTCGCTAGATCATGGCCAGATGCACCCCTACACACTTTTGTCTTTTTCACATTTTCGAGAGTGGTGTGGCAATGCCAAAGAACTCTCTTTCTAACGTGTCGTTTTTCAGAATCAAATTTTCTTTTCTTTCTTTTCTTTCTTTTCTTTCTTTTCTTTCTTTTTCTCGTTATTGCACAGACAGAGTTTTCTTGTTGTCAATCAATCAATAAAGTTATTATTATTCTTATTCAATCAAATAAAGTTCAATAAACAGAAGTGAGTATAGGCTAAGAACGTAAGATGATTCAACTGAATACATCGCGTAGAAAATAACACTACCAGATATTATTTATTGCTACTCTGGTGCCAATTATCCTCGTCGACTTCTGAGATCATCCCCTTTCCGTCTGATTCTCCCCATATTACTCTTCATGCTTGCCGGTGATAAGCAACCGGACTGCCGCCCCCCAGAATAGATGGGGCCTTCTGTTTGTTGAAAAAAAAAAAAAAAAAAAAAAAAAAAAAAAAAAAAAAAAAAAGTGCTTCAAGGCATGGAATCGATTACCACGCCAGACCAGACCCAGACACTCCTTCCTTATTCATGCACAACGCTCAATTTGACCGCGATGATTGGGATCGGGAGGATAAAAGATGTGAGCGGAAGACTCGACGGGTTGCTGCAGCTGGCATCGTTTGGTCGTGAACGCCGCCGGCGGTGCTGGTGGTTCTATCGCGCCCTTATTGCCAGGAGCCGTCTTCTTGGATCGCTTCCTGAGAATGACAAACAGCATGATGCCTGCGAGAACAAGAGCACCGAGGGCGGCAATGGTCACACCCATAACCAGGATGAGAGTACGAGATCCCTTGCTTTGAGGATGACCACCTGGGGCTGCGCCAGCTCCGCTTGTGTTTGCTGCACCACCCTCGCCGTTTGCTGCTACATATTTGGCGCTTGCCCCCCCCCCTTGGCCAGCGGGCCAACTCGTCGTTGAATCCGAACGCGATTCTCCTCCGTCATCAGTCGGAGTTGGCCGGGATCCCGATACGTCTCCGTCAACGCTTGGCGTTGGCTTCGATCCTTCTCCTGCGATTGTCGTCGGTCCCCCATCGTCGGTGGGATTTCCAAGTTGCTCAGGAGCGGGCGTTGGATCTGAGTCGGGCACAGGTGCTGGCGGTGATGGTGTCGGTGTTGTGGGTGGGACAGGAGCTGGCGTTATAGGTGTGGGTGTAGTTGGTGGCGCAGGAGCTGGCGATGTAGGTATGGGTGGCTGAGGAGCTGGCGTTGTAGCTGGGGGTGTAGGCGTGGGCGTAGTTGGCGGCGCAGGAGCTGCCGATGTAGGTGTAGGTGTAGGTGTTGTTGTCGTTGGTGTTGGTGGCGTTACGGGCGTGTCAGGAACTGACGCGGGATCGGATTCTAACACTGTTGGCGTGGTATCTGGCTCTTCCGGAGTGGGCAGTGTATCTGAGTCTTCCGCTGTGGTGGTAGGTGTTGGTGATGCCGGTGTCCTGGGTGGCGTGATCGGTGGAGGCGTATTTATAGGTCCACACGGATGAAGAGCCGACGTCGAAATTGTGAACCTTGCTATGATTGTGATATTCAACGACGCGTACAGATAGCTGTCATCGTCAGAAAGAGCAAGGCTAATGATGTAGATGGGGTTAAGGATCTCGACGAGTGTCCGGACCTCGAGGACATCACCACCGGGGGCGGAGAACTTCACCCATCGGATCCTGCGGCTGCCATCCGAGAGAAACATATTACAGCCGTTGGCTGTGAGAACGGGGTTTCTCGGATTGCGAAACGGTGCGCGATCGGTGACCGGGTCAGCATCCAGGGAACCCAAGCCTGAGACCGAGCTCCCGGTGAGCACCGTGCTAGTCGCTCCTGTCACCGTGTCCACCATCCGGATGCGGTCGTTTCCAACATCTTGTAGATATAGCACGCTGCCATCCGGAGTGATTGAGCGAGGGTTGATGCGTGCTACGTCAAATCGAACGTTAGAGGAGATCGAGCTGTCCATCATGGACTTAAAGACCGACGTCGTGGACGTGTACCCAGCAAGCACTTTGCGGTAGCTGAGGAAGGACGTGGAGTCCAGAGGGATGGCATAGATTCTGTCAGCCGCCGATACGTACAGAGTTCCCTCCTTTGGATGCTTGGCCAGCCCCCAAGGTCGCTTCACATTAATGAACATCTCCGATTGATAAAGGGACAGCAAGCCCAACTTTCGCACCATATAATACTGATGGTCGGGGACAAGAACGTAGTCCGAGTCCAGGAGCAAAATGCCATAAAACCTCCCGTTGCCGTTCCAATACCACCCATGCACTGTGGAGTAGGTGGTTTGTGCGGGGACGCAGGAACCGCAATGCACAGCCTTCACTATTCTCCACTGGTCGACGCCCACATCCCGATCCTTTTCGACGAAGTACAAAATTGGCGAGACTGTCCCCGTAACAACCATGGCAATTGCATATCGGTCCTCCAAAGAAGGCGCTCGCGAGCCAAAGTTCATCGTCGTGGCGGTTCTGTACACCAGGCTCTCGTCGTGTAGAGTCCAACGCATCGTGTAACGAGTCCTCACGAGCTGGCGTCTGCTCACTGCTGAAGGGTGGTGATCTTCCTTGTCTCCGTTTCCAACGTCGTCGTCAGCCACAGCGTCGTCCTTCGCTTCGTGGTGCTTGCCATCGCCAGCAGCAACCACATCGTCCTCCACTACGTATTCAACATACTCAGCAGAGTCAGCAGCAGCATCCACCCTCAAGCTGCTGCTGGTGCCGACACCATGATGATTTGCTAGCCCTGTTGCAGCAGCAGAAGACGCAAGCTGACGGGGATCCATAGTAGTATCACGGGTGTCGAATGGGCACTCTGGTAATGATGGGGCACTTCTGTTAGAGCATAGTCCACTGGCAGGCTGGTGAGGAGGATGTTGAAGAACTGTGTCGGCAGTTAGTGCAGACACGCCCGTGTGGAGAAAGAGGGGAATGTTGGGTGGGAGAAGAAACAGGTCCATGGTGGCGACCAGCAGCACCATAGCAAGAGATCCGCAGCTGCTATTATGCTGTGGTGACCTTGAGAACGGGAGCTTGTAGCAAAAGAGGAAGAGGAGGAGGAACGGAGCCATGTCAATGACAACAAGTATGCAGACCAGCCAGACCATCAAATAATCAGAAAAAAGAGAGAGCTGTGAAGAGGAAACACTCCCTAGCGTGTGGCTAGGAAACTGTATCTTGCTTTTACTTGAACAGGGGTGCTCTTCGCCTGGACGAGCACACACAACAGCGCACTCCGCATGGACAAGCCACGACAGCCCAAACTCAGACCCTGCACAGGCCTGCCAAACAAGCCCTTGTCGTAGGTCCAAGGCCGTAAGGACGAGAAGAAGAAGAAGAAGATGATGATGAAAAGGAGGAAGAAGAAGACGAAGAAGACGACGACTAAGACGAAGACGACGACGAAGATGAGGACGAGGACGAAGACGAAGACGAAGATGAAGAAGAGGAGGAGGAGGAGGAGGAAGAGGATGAAGAAAAAGAAGAAGAAGACAGTAACAATGACTATGACAATGACCACGATGATTATGACTATGACGAGAAAGACGACGAAGATGATGACGACCACCGCGAGTAGCAAGGCTCCGAACAAGAACTATAGGGCATCGCAGCCATCCCTACTCCTGTCCCGGTCCCATGAACAACAAAACGAAGAAAACGAGAGAAACAAATCAACTCTATCAGATTGTGATCGTGGAGACCAGTCCAATCGCAGTCAATTATAATCATCTCAGGAAAGCCTTCACAAAACAACAAAGCCGGCGTCCATGATCTGTAGATTCTGTACAATAAAGGGCACCCGGCCGCTCTCTCTCTCTCTCTCTCTCTCTCTCTCTCTCTCTCTCTCTCTCTCTCCGAGTCTCGTGTGTGTGTGTGTGTGTGTGTGTGTGTGTGTGTGTGTGTGTGTGTGTGTGTGTGTGTGTGTGTCAGACTCTGTCTATCATAGCATTCATTTTTCTAAGGGCTTACCACAGAGAGAGAGAGAGAGAGAGAGAGAGAGAGAGAGAGAGAGAGAGAGAGAGAGAGAGAGAGAGAGAGAGAGAGAGTTACTACCCTAGGACTGTTAGGGCGCTCGCAGGTTTCGTCTGGATTCTGAAGAGGAAGTTATGTCTGCCCTAGCACAATGGCAACAAAAACATCCAAATGATGGGAATCCCCTGGCGAGACTCGAAAGTGGTTTTTTTTGTCATTGGGTTTCTTATGTTCCAACTTAAGAGGACAGAAACAGCTGTTCTCAACTTGTCACTTATTTGGAAACATGTTCACTGTTCACTGTTCAGTTGTCCTACAGGTCCGTTCAGGACATTCCGAAGATTAGAATGGCCCCTGGGCAAGGATGACACCCATAAATAGAGAGATGGTCCAATTTCTTTTTATTTTTCGAGGAAGGGTGTGTTTTTTCACTGTTTTCATAAAATTTCACTGTATTGATTGCTCGGTTTCCGACAATGGTGCTTTCAATAGCAATGTGCCTGAAATCTCGACAGCTGCAATGATGGCAGTAGACTACCCACCGACTATTCCGTCATCAAATTTGGGCAGGAAAGACAATCAACTATAGCCTAAGGCCAATCTTCAGACCAGACCATCTGATACATGCTCAATAGAGCGATGTGTTTGGAGCCAAAGGATCCGCCAAGTGATGAAAACTTTGAAAAGGACTCAAATGGACAATGCAGCATCAGCGAAGCGTCAACAAGAAATGTACATCCAGAGGACCAGATACATACAAAAATATCACTGTGTAGCCCAGCGGAAGACTTAAAGATATGACCTGACTGGGTGACCCATTAGAGACTGATGCGACTCAATGCATCACACACCTCACATGTGAGAGAGAAGGAGGGACCTCATGCATAGAAGAAAGGTCCCTCCTTTGACACGCACATGGGGAGATACCACGGATGAGGTGAGGGTGGAAGGGCAACACGAAGTTGGAGGTGAGGGAGAAGACCAAGATTGCGATAGCAAAGTCCAAAAATAGTCTCCCTGCCGAATGTCCAAACAATGTCTGCTGCAAAAGTGTCGAATCAGATCCTGGGCCTCATAGACTCATAGAGTCATAGAGTCATAGCCTGACCTAACCTATGCCTGTACTCTCTCTCTCTCTCTCTCTCTCTCTCTCTCTCTCTCTATATATATATATAAAAGAAGAAGAAGAAGAAGAAGAAGAAGAAGAAGAAGGAAGAGTTGGAGGGCGACAACAGGAGAAGAAGAAGATATCGTCCACCTCGCTGTCTGACCTGCAGATAACTGCCGCCATGTACTAACAAGCCGGAGTGTCCCTCTCTGCTGCAGGTTGCTGGCGAGAAGTCCAGCTATGGTCCCCAGGTGAGTCCTCAGTCACTGCAGGTATGGCCACCGCCTATCTCCCTCCCTACACCTCTACCTGTAGGCTCTGGCATAGCGCTGTTCTTCTGGTCGGAGTAATTACAATGCGGAAAAAAGGCCTGAAAGAACAGCAAAATGGGGTGTGCCAAGGATTTTTGGAAATTTCATTGTGGGGACACTGATGGAACTGAAATCCCCCGTGTGGTCGCGGTGTTTAGTGAGAAAGGCCCATCGCCGGCGGGAAGAAAACAGGCGCGCGTGATTTTCAAATGTCTACAGTCTATCCAATCCAAAAAGTATCTCTGAAGATCCATACAGGCTACTCGTCATTCTTTTCGAGCAAAAAGGCCGGGGTACAAACATGGGATCGCATTCGAACGCCCGCATTCAAACGGCTTTGGGCCGCGTTCAGACGCTTCCAACCGTGCTGTGTGCCACGTGGCGCGAATCTATAGAACGCGACCCAACCTGCCATATTAGCGCGTGGTGGACTACGGGTGGGGGGATTTGGATTTTCAAAAAAAATAATAATAATAAAGTGTGGCAGTGTATATCTCCTTGTACAGTTGTACTAGCTGTAGATTCATTCGATATTGCTCATCAGATCAATACAAGTACCATGAGGTCGGCCCGGCTGTTGGACACTTACCTGCTCTCTCTCTCTCTCTCTCTCTCTCTCTCTCTCTCTCTCTCTCTCTCTCTCTCTCTCTCTCTCTCTCTCTC